AGTGAGAAACAGTGTAGCTGACATGCCCCTGGTGGGCCCACCAGAGAAGCAGCATGGTGACCCTGCCACTGGCAAACCAGTCCAAGAGACCCTGACATGGCATACACCCACACACGCAGACTGAGAATCAATCCTGCAACCACATCCCCAGTAAGACGACTGACCCACAGGGGGCATGTGCACACCTCAGCCTGTGAGCCAACCCAGTGATACCTCCCTTAGCAAAGCTGTGCCACCACCACAGGCCTCCCAAGCATAGGTCACTGAGTCACTTGCAGATGTAGCAAAAGTGGTTTATAGCTGAAGAAACTACGGAGTCTACACTACTGCATCCATCCTAAGCAAAGCCATTGTACTCTACTCAACACCCTAGGATGCATTGCCAGGTGAAAGTCTTTTGTACAATATATGCATATATTGAAACAACATACAGTACCCCACAAATACGTACAGTTAAAAATAAAATTTAAAACAATTTTTTTAAATATTCCCCTTTCTTGATGTTAATATATTCACTCCAGCTTCCTTTTGTTTTATGTAAATATATCTTTCCCCATCCTTTCACTTTTAACCAGTTTTTGTTGTTGTTCATCTGGACTGTAGGCATCATATATTGGGTCTTAGCTTTTTATTCAATCTGATAATCTCTACCTTTTAAACAGAATGTTTCCCAAGCCACTAATTATGGTTCAGTAGTGACTGAAGAAAAGAAAAGAAGTGATATTTTGGTGCTACACTTGCACATTCTTAAATGCTCTGGTAGTTTTTTTTTTTTTTTGTCTTTTTGTCTTTTTCCGTGTCCGGCAACGGATCGCAACCCTCAGTGCTGCCCCCGTACCGGACCGGGGACCGGCAATGGGATTGCAACCCTCGGCGTTGCTCCCGCGCCTCGCTCAGCCAGTGAGCGGGAGCCGGTCTGTATGTGGGATCCGAACCCTCGGGCGGGAGCGCCGCCGCGCTTCCCAAGCGGCGCACTATCCAGTACGCCACCGGGCCGGCCCAATGCTCTGGTAGTTGTTTTTTTTTTGTCTTTTTGTCTTTTCCCGTGTCCGGCAACGGATCGCAACCCTCAGTGCTGCCCCCGTACCGGACCGGGGACCGGCAATGGGATTGCAACCCTCGGCGTTGCTCCCGCGCCTCGCTCAGCCAGTGAGCGGGAGCCGGTCTGTATGTGGGATCCGAACCCTCGGGCGGGAGCGCCGCCGCGCTTCCCAAGCGGCGCACTATCCAGTACGCCACCGGGCCGGCCCAATGCTCTGGTAGTTGTTTTTTTTTTGTCTTTTTGTCTTTTCCCGTGTCCGGCAACGGATCGCAACCCTCAGTGCTGCCCCCGTACCGGACCGGGGACCGGCAATGGGATTGCAACCCTCGGCGTTGCTCCCGCGCCTCGCTCAGCCAGTGAGCGGGAGCCGGTCTGTATGTGGGATCCGAACCCTCGGGCGGGAGCGCCGCCGCGCTTCCCAAGCGGCGCACTATCCAGTACGCCACCGGGCCGGCCCAATGCTCTGGTAGTTGTTTTTTTTTTGTCTTTTTGTCTTTTCCCGTGTCCGGCAACGGATCGCAACCCTCAGTGCTGCCCCCGTACCGGACCGGGGACCGGCAATGGGATTGCAACCCTCGGCGTTGCTCCCGCGCCTCGCTCAGCCAGTGAGCGGGAGCCGGTCTGTATGTGGGATCCGAACCCTCGGGCGGGAGCGCCGCCGCGCTTCCCAAGCGGCGCACTATCCAGTACGCCACCGGGCCGGCCCAATGCTCTGGTAGTTTTTGATCACAGAATAATATCTCTTTCCAGCAGTTTTTCATTGGGTGTGCCCTCTAATTGTTCTGCCTGATCTTTCTGGCTTCTGGACCTCCTTTTATAAGTCTTTATTTTCCTTTGGGCTCAATAGGAGGAATAGACAAATCCACAATTATAAATGGAGATTTAAAAACTGCTCTCTCAGTGATTGATTGAAGGTGTAGGCTGAAAATAAATACATATATAAAAGACTTGAAAACCACTAACTAAACAACTAACTTGACCTAATCGCAATTATAGTGCCCTCCACCCAACAGCCAGAGAACACGTATTGCTTACAAGTGCACATGGAATGTTTACCTGGATAGATCATATTCTGAACAATAAGAAAAACCTCAATAAATTTGGTAAGATTTGAACGATAAATGCTGGCGAGGTTGCGGAGAAAAAGGAACTCTCTACCTAAAATAATCTATAGACTTAACACAATTTTAGTTAAAATCTTAATATTTCTTTGCATAACTTAACAAAATGATTTTAAAATTTGTATTGAAGTAGAAAAACTAGAAAAACCAAGCCCCATTTGAAGAAAAAGAAAAATTGAGGGCACTTGCTCTATCAGATATTAATTAAGACAATGCATATTGACACAAAAATAGAAAACTATCTTAGCAGAATGGTATAGAAAGCCCAGAAACAGACCCACAAAGACATTTGATGTACGACAAAAGTGGCATTCCAGAGCAGTGGGAAGAAATAATGGGCATTTCAATAAATGGTGAAGGGACAATTGTTTCAACATCTGAAAAAAGATAAAATTGGATCCTTACCTTGCATTGTATGTAAAAATTAATTCCAAAGTTGATTTTGGGGAGGAAAAAACACAAAAATTAAAGGTAAAGCTGCAAAACTTACTTGAAACACCATGGTAGAATTTTACCTCAGAGTAGAAAAGGATTTCTTAATTATGATACAAAGCACAAGCCAAAAATGGAAAGATGGATAAATTTGACTGCATTCAGTATTGAATTATGGTTATCAAAAGAGAACAGAAGGAGTGAAAAGACAGGTCACAAGCACAGTAGTGAAGTACGTAGGGCACGAACTGAGTGATGAAGTTTGTAAAACTTAAAACCAACAAAGAATTAACATCTAGGATACTTACATATTTGATATATATTTAAATATATATATTTAAAACTTCCAAGAATCAATAACAAAAAGACAATTAGCCTGTAGAAAAACAGCAAAGGAAATATACAGATATTTCACAGAAGAGAAAGCTTAAATGATATTACACGCGAAAGGTCCTTAAATATGTTCAATCACACTATTCATCAGGGAAATGCAATTTTAAAACATTATGAGAAATCATTTCACACCCGTAAAGAAGAAAAATTTTTAAAAGTCAGACAATACCACACTTGGCAAACTGTTCAGGAATGGGAACTCTGTTTACTGCTGGTGGAAGTGTAAGTTGTTTCAACCACTTCAGAAAGCAGTCTGGCTTTCCCTATAAACTTCAACATGTGCATATATATTACAACCCAGCGACTTCATTAGTGTATGTGGGCTCCAGAGAAATCATTGCAGCCTATGTGAGTTCTTGCACATGTTATCCAGGAACATGCACAATAATGTTTGCAGAAGCTTCTTTCATAATAGAAAAAACTGGAAACAGCCCAAATATCCATCAGTAGTAGAAAAGATAAATATATTGTGGCAAAGTCTTATAATGGAATACTATAGAGCAATAAAAAGTGAATGATGTATACACAACAATAGGAATGAATTATGCAAGAGCATAATTTTGAGTGAAAGAGTTTGGTCACAGGGACTGGCCAGTTAGCTCAGTTGGTTAGAGCACAGTGTTATAACAACAAGGTCAAGGGTTTGGATCCCCACAGCAGCCAGCCACCAAAAACAACAACAAAAAAAGATAGTCACAAAGCAAATATATTATTTGTTTGTATTTATATAAAATTCAATACCTGACAAAACTAAATAATGTACTACTTAGGGATATATACAAAGGTATAAAACCTCCAAAAAAGGCAAGTGAATGATCAAAATTAATTTGGGATAATTAGTGGTTACTGCTCAGTGAGAGGAGAGAGTTGTCATCAGTGTGTGACACATAAGAGAGGCTCTGAAGGACAATAATGCTCTGTCTCTGGGACTCGGTGGTGTTCATCTGTTGCCCATTATGTTGTGTGTGTTCATGTACATTCACTCTTTTTATGTACACTATTGTTGGGGCACAGAAAGCGATACCCGAAAGTGAAGGCCTTGGAGACAGCCAAAGTGAAGGCCTTAGAGACAGCCTCAAAAGCAGTTTTCCTGTGACCTTCTCCTGTCCTCTTGTTTCTCAGCCTCATTCTCCTCTGAGGCAAGCCACAGAAACTAGATTTCCTCTTCTCCAAGTCAGATCATAGATATCCTCTAAACTCCTTTCCCCAAACCCTTTTTGTCTTGGAGCTGGCCATAAAGAAATTCTCTGAGCTACTTTTTCTGAGGATTGGTCATAAGACCTCCATTCCAGATGGGGCCCTTCCCCATATGCTGGAGGAATGAATGTTACACAGAGAGACCGAGAAGAATCTGGACAGGTCTTGTTGGGTTTCCCCACTCTGGCTATTAGCGTTAGATCACACTTTTTCTTGTCCAATCACATTTCAACATGGCTGTCCCTGTTTGAGAAGAATCTGGACAGGTCTTGTTGGGTTTCCCCACTCTGTCTATTAGCGTTAGATCACACTTTTTCTTGTCCAATCACATTTCAACATGGCTGTCCCTGTTTCATGGAACCTAAGCATAAATATGGACAATCTTCCCTGTATCTTTCGATCTTCAAGCTGAAGGCTCCTGTATCACATAAAACTATGATATTATAAAATTGGTTATGTATTTTCTTCATATTAATCTGTTTATCAGGTGATTATTTTAGAGAACCTTCAGGGGGTTAAAGGGGATGTCTTCCCTTGGCCCCTATACTATGTCTTTTTTTAATTTAAAAATTGCAGATTCCAAGGACCCAAAAACAGGTATTTCAATTCAGTGGGTTAGGATGGCACCAAGAAATCTGGACATTTATCAAGTTCCCTCGCTGACTTTGATGAAAGCAGTCTGAGGACCACCTCTTGAGTGTCTGCATCATTTCCATAGTTTGAACCACTTCACTCTTGGAACCTGGCACTTCAAAAAGAGCTACAACATGATTAAAGGAGGCAATTTATAATAAATAAGCACACAACCCTTCCAATTCCAGAAATTATCACTTTACTATGAAAAAACTAAACATTTACAAAAGAAAATCAAAAGAAGCTGCATTTTAAACCCCATTGGGAAGGTTACACGGAGTCTGATGGACAATATCGTAAAACATCCCCGTACCACGCCAGTACCATACAGAGAAACCCAGCCAACCGTTATACCATAGGTTGAGGTATTTAGTACGTGAAAGTCAACCCAGTGCCCACTTTATCATTTGCCTATAAAAATATAAAACCCTGGCATCTTTACAACACATGAAATTACTGTCAATGAACTTTATAGGATGAAAATTTTGTTAAAGGAAAGATGACATAGTTCAGCTGCCAGTCAACATTAATGTTAAATTTTCCTATGATGCATTAAGTAACAATGGTCAGTCCAAGCAACACTGTTTAATTATTTTAACAATCTGAATATAGAGTGCTGCTATTCCAAGCCAACTTGCTATGGCATAATTTGATTTTACATATGTACAGATTACATTATTGTACATACACATCAAAGAACTCCTTCAGTCATCTCATCTCAATGTCAGTGACTCTTTTTCAGGCAGAAAGTTTTCCTTTGGCTTCTTGCTCACAGTGAGGGGCACAGGCAGCCATATCTTTCTGTGTTCAACACATTCAGGGAAGTCAGCGCTCTCAGCCCGTTGTTTTTCTCATGGAACGATGAGTACTAAGGATTTGGACTGATAAATTGTGTCTCTGGTTAAATATTTCAATGTTAGCTACACTTTTGATTTCTGTGCTTCTACAAGACTGTAAGACCCTTTCATGTTGGCTTTTCTTGCAAAGTAAATGGTCATTCCAATAGCAGGTATTATTAGGGAGGATGCAAAATAGAGCATGAGAAGTTCAGGAGAAAAATAGTCCTTGTTATTTTCTCTTCCTGGAAAATAACAAAAAGGTCGCAATTAATGTCTAGTACAAAAATCAAGTCGTTTAATAATGATAGTTACATGTTTTATTGCAACAGTATAACTAGTTCTTCAAAGAGAAGTGAATAAGGACCATCAGGATTCAAAACACACATTTCTCTGAATTATCCAAATTATTAGTTGGTGGTTTCTATGGTCATAATAGATCTAAAGATACTGGTTGATGACTTCCACAGACTTGGATTCAAACAGATTCAGGTTCAGTAATTGGAAAGATGTGTTTGCTTTGGGAAATAGAAATATCTACTAAAAAGCTAGAACTCTTAGCACCATGAATCAAAATGACTGATCATTTCTCCAAGAAAATTCTTATACTCTTTACGTTATAACATTATGTATGTTTTATATATAATATATGTTATAACTTTACAACAACATCCAGTAATTATAAATCCTTATAACATGTTATGTTATTCCTCTTCAACCGTTATATCATCTATAGATAAAATAAAACTGAAGTTCCTTGGATAGTACCATGTTTCAGCCTAAATGTTACTTACTCGTAGAGGTATTCTCTGATCCACATCTCCCCCAGCCTAAATTAAGAACCCCAGCATACTCTCAAAACCCACTGTAGTTTCCCCTTATAGCCCTTATCACAGCTTGTAATTAAACATGTCTATATGATTATTAAATTTGCTTTTCTTCTCTATACTGTTAGCAACACAAAGACATGTATATCTATTTTCTTTTTGGTTCACCACTGAATAGCCACACCTGACTCACTGCTTGGTGTAGTTGGCACCCCCCAAAATATTTTTTGAACACTAATACATTTTCTTCTTTCTACATCCTGTCATATGCCACTTAATTATAAATGGAGGACAGAAGGTAAGAGACACAAAAACTTTAAAATTAATATTCTTTCTAATCTACTAAAAAATCATCTGATAGCTGCAATACCATTTAACATCTGAAAAAGATAGTGTGGCATTTACTGGAAACTCATTTCTGTTTGTACTTTGTTTGCAAAGCATTGTATGGGTAGGACTTCATGAGTATTAAGTTTCACTAAGTGGCATATATGTTGCCTCAGTCCTGGCTGAAAATGAGTGATCTGACGCAAGCGATCACGACATTCCTCCTAGAGCTTTCTAATCACTGGAGGTCAACCAAGTAGAAAAGAATCAATAGCATCAGATGATGTGAAGGCAATTTTTCAAATTATTAAAGAAAAAACATTTCATTGTAAGTATAATGATAATTGCCTCATTTTTCTAATTTCCCTTGCTAGAGTTGAGCTAGTCAAAGTATAAGGGTAATATTTTAATTGAATGTCCATCACTATAATAGTGATTAGGCATCAATATTGATGACATGCTGGGCAATGGTATTTCTGTTCCTATTGTTTTCTTTTCAATTTAATAAATCCTATCTTTTGCCTTTCAGTTTTGCCATCAGGCATTTGCAGAAAAACACAAATTTGCTGCTGCTGAGTCAATTGCCAGGACCATCTTCAAATTTAGATGCTCCTTGATGTACAATGGGATTACATCTTACCCACTGTAAGTTGAAAATGTCGTAAGTTGAAAATGGATATAATACACCTAACCTACCAAACACCATAGCTTAGCCTAGCCTATCACCATCTTCAAATTTAGATGCTCCTTGATGTACAATGGGATTACATCTTACCCACTGTAAGTTGAAAATGTCATAAGTTGAAAATGGATATAATACACCTAACCTACCAAACACCATAGCTTAGCCTAGCCTATCTTAAACATTCTTAGAACACTTACATTAGCCTGTAGTAGGGAAGATTATCTAATGCAAAGCGTACTTTATAATAAAGTGTTGAATACCTCATGTACTTTATTGAATGCTGTACTGTAAGTGAAAAACAGAATGGCTGTATGGGTACTCAAATTGCGGTTTCTACTGAATGCATATCGCTTTTGCAACATCACAAGTCGGAATATCAGACGTCAGACCATCGTAAATCAGGGTCTGTCTGTACAATTTACTACTAGTTCTATGTATACTGAAAATCTTAAAAAGACTCCTGACCATTTCTATCAGTGAAATACATTCAAGCTGAAATAAAATCAAACAAATAAAAAACCCAGCTAGCTAAATACAAAGGAAAACCAGTTTGAAATACCCCCCAAAATGTTAATTTTTTGTTTCCATTCATATCTAGATCTTTTAAATCATATTCAGTTTGGGGACATGAATTTCCAGCTGAGTGCCTCATATTCTTTATTCATTTAAATAATAACTAAAAAGTGGCAAATATGTAAGTTATTAATTCCATAAAGTGATTAGAAAAAACAACAAGGAGGGGCTGGCTGGTTAGTTCAGTTGGTTAGAGCACAGTGTTATAACATCAGGGTCATGGGTTCAGAAAAAAAACAACTATGTGTGAGAGAGAGTTAAAAAGTAGAGAAACTTTAATGTGTCTTTAAAAGAGAACGATTAATTACAAACAAAATTACTGAAATGTTAGAGTCCAATTTCCTGGGCCTAGGCTTAATTAAAGGTGGCCTGGAGGCATCAAGGATTAAAGAATATAGGAATGAATGAATTTCAACCTACTCATAACTGAGATCTCAGTCCATCCAGAATCATCCCAAACCTCACTTGAAGCACTGATTACATATACCTCTGTATCATTTTGAGTGACATGATACAAAGTAAATGTTCCATTCTTTAAACACATAGTAATTTCATTGGCTAGATCAACTCTTTTCAGGATGATCACTGCAGGTGGGTGACTAAAAGTTTTACATGTAATCATGATATTTCCCCTTCTTTAACATTTATAGATGGGTATATTGATATTGTAGTGTTTCAGGGAGGTACTGTGAAAATAGAAAACATACAGTAAAGCTGCAATCTTGAAAAATTTGGCCAGATGAGTAAAATTTGTACCTGTTTTGTGACTTAGGTTCAAATTTCCACTATATTAACAAGTGGTTGCTAACTCTAATAGCCATGTGCCAGACCTCTTAGGAGTTGGTATTTGTTTGCAGTCCCGTTTGCACTCCACTGCCAAGTATGGCTTCCAGTACACAACAGGAGCTCATTAGTGTACAAGGAGTGTGAGACTGAGTAGTCAAGGCTGACATATTCTGCTTACATCAATAAGATCAACAGATCCTACCTACTGTGCACTCACAGAGGGGTTAGGAGATTAAGGGACCCCTGAGTTTTCATGGATACAGGATGGCAAGGGGCTTGGATTTTTAAGGAGGCTTTTCTGTAGTCTAGAGATTTTTTATGTTGTTCAGTATCCAGATTGCTACTCCCAATTAGTATCCTGAAAAGAGTCAATCCAGAAAGCATGCAGTTATTCTATGTTCAAAAAATAATGTTCCCTTCTGGAAGGAAGGAAGAGGGTCTGAACAGAACCACCACCACCCCCCTTTTTTTTTCCTGGTGTGCCAATTCTACTTTGATTTCTGATAACCCCCAGGGAGAGGTTTTGAAAATACAGTTAAATATTTAACAAGTGCAAAACCTCAGGGACCAATGATGAATTTTCAACCTTGAAAAAAGGCAAATGGTAATTCCACACTCTCCAATGATTAATGTCAACTTCCGGGCTAAACTCTATAGGATAGAACAGCTGTGCTTGATTATTTCAAGAAATGTTAAGAACCACAATCAATATGGAATTCAGCTTCATTTTGGCAACTCATTCATCTAATACTAGACATTCTATACAATCCACAAAATCCCTGAACTACTACATATAAATAACAAAAACCAAAAGTCAAAAACTAACCTTTAACATCAAGAGTTAAACTTCTTGATTGTGAGCCAACCTCATTTTTTGATTCACATTCGTACACTCCTGCGTCCTCCAACTGGGCCTTGCGGATGGTATATGCACCATCTGTAGACTTTAGCACTGTGTCTCCTGTCTCTGCTTTTTTCTTCAGTATTATCCAAGTTTTTGGATAATTTCCACATGTACAGGAGATAATGACAGTATCTCCTTCCTTGACACTTTCAGAGGGAAAAGCTCTAAGTTGAATATCTCTTGGAGCAACTGTAAAGAGAATTTAAAAGGCATTTCTGATGGAGTAAAATATAAACCAATTCCATATTAATTTAATGACATTAGCAATAGACGCCAAAGAGCTATTTGTGCCTACTGTTTGCATCAGATGTTAAGAAGGGCATGTAAAGAGGTCAAGTATCCACTGGATTGTTGTAAATAATCATGTTTTAAACAAGAAAGGATATGTCTTATGCTTCTTTCATGCCCCTTAATTTAATTCTTTACCCAGCCTAGCACAAAGAATGGGTATGTAATAAATAGCTGTAGAACTTAATGTGAAAAAGGAAATTAATTTTTTTGTCATGCTCTTTTGCAAAATTTTCCTTGAAGTACAAAGTACTTTGTAGGCCTTCTGAGTTTTGATCTGGATCCTCCCAGACCAAGAAACTAAGCTGGACAAAGATGGCTTTTTTATTATCCTTAATAACACAGCTGCCATTTATCAGGTTCCAGGCACTGGCCTGAGTAGTTGACATACAACATCTCTATTTTAAGCTGGACAAAGATGGCTTTTTTATTATCCTTAATAAAACAGCTGCCATTTATCAGGTTCCAGGCACTGGCCTGAGTAGTTGACATACAACATCTCTATTGGTGGGAGGTATCATAACACCATTTTATAAGTGAGATTCCTGTTAAGGTCATCTATTTTGTGACTTGATTTGAGAGTCTTTCTCTATTCAAGGCCAAATGACCATGACATCCATCCTAAAGGTTTTCTTTAATGCTGTGCATTGCCCTTCCAAAGTTCTTTCTTTAAAATACAAATCTTATTGAGATGAGGTAACAAGAGAGTCACTAATACCTTCATGGGAATACTTTCAAGATGTAAGAGAGGAAATGGCAGCCTTGGAGAAGAAAAGATCCCCAACACCCAAACGGGAAGGTATTGGAGCAAATCCAAATTGATCACTTCATGGTTTTGCTCGTAACTGTCCACGGTTTCAACCTGCCCACTGGGAATTGTTTTGTTCTCAGTCTTAGGTCTCCATTTCAGAGAGAGGGGGCCTAGATCTGATATCTCTGGTGGTTTGACTGTCACCAGGCTGATGAACCAGAGGGCACAGTTATTGCTACTCTCAATCTCAGAATTTACAAAAGGTTTGAATGCCTTCTTGGGCTACTAAGCAAATACTAGCAAGCATTTTGTGAGATTGACACTCAGGGTCCAATTCAGCCAGATGTGGTGGCTTTGATACTAAAATTTTAAATACATATATATCTCTTTCTATCCTTATTTCAACACCATAATCATTGCCTTATAAGTGTAATTGGAACCAGAGCTAGCATTTCATTTAAGATAAAAAGAATTTCAGGATAAGTGATTTGGAATGGCTCGAGAGAAAGTACCAGTCCAGGAGCTTCCCATGAATGGGAAACATCAGGAATTCTTCAAAACCCTCAATACTTTTTTTAGTAAAAATTTTATTTTCAAAGAGGACTTCATTAATTACCATTAACATAATAAAAAAAAACACTAGCAATAACAACTCAATCACACTCTGCTTACCTTGGATAATTAATTCAACTTCTTTTCTACTTATTCCAGCCTGGTTAATCCCTTCACACACATAAGTACCAGAATCTTCCATTTTTGTAGAAATTAAAGTGATAGTTGTGTTCTCTGAAAGAGGCTGTAGATCCCCATTATTTAACTGCCTGCGCCACAGGATTTTTGGAGCTGGAAGGCCACTGCTAGAGCATGTCATATTCACAGAACTGCCTTCCTCCAGGATGGGGGATGGGCTGACCAAGACGGTTGTGTCCCTAGGGGCAACTGAAAAGGGAGAGACACTTATTAGCTTGACCCCTGATTCCCTGAGTTCTAAACAGTTTTAATACTGTTGCAAAATGGGGCTGTGGAATCAGCGACTTAGAGCAGTTTATAAACCTTGATAGCGGTACCACAGGAGGATTCTGTCTCCATTTACTTCGGCAAATACAAAATGATAGAGTAGAATATGAACACATCATGGGTATTTTCTAATGGAAGTAAGTTCTGCAGAAACTCTCTTGCTACCAAAGAACAGACGATCAACGATAGTGTGTATTGCCATTTATGGTGGATTAAACATGACCATGAGTGATTTGAATCTCCTCTTGTGGAAAGGTGGAGTCTGTCTTTCCACCCCTTGAATCTGAGCTGACCTTGTGACTCTTTTACCAACAGAATGTGGAAGAAATAACGGGATAGGCCTCCCAAACCCATGCTTTAAGAGGCTGCTTTCATTATCACTTTCTTGAAACACTGTGCTCTGGTGAGTAAGCCTAGGTTACCTTCCTTGAGGATGACAACACTCACAGAAGGTCCCAGATATGTGAGTGAGGCCATCTGAGACCAGCCAGCCCTGCTGATCTGACCAAAAATGCATGCGGGAGCTCGGCTGATACCACATTGAGCAGAATAACTGCCCGGCTGGCCCCTTCCCAGAGGCCAACTCATAGAATAATAAACAAATAAATTATTATTATTTCAAGCGTTAGGGGATGGTTTGTTATGATCATCATTATTTTGGAATATCTTTTCAGTTATTTTTTTTTCTCACAACGTTTTAACCATTAACCTTATGTTAACTATTTCCTGGCAAACATGATAAAGAAATCCATATGAAATTGTGGGTATGTCACATATGTACTCACCATTGACATAAAGTGTCTGTGTACTCTGCCTTTGTTTGGGTTGAAATTCCATTTCACCAATATGTAACTTAGCTTGACAAACAAGAACTTTTCCAGTATCTTCAGTGGTGGGGATGAAGGTCACTTCCAAACTTTTGGTCTCTGGGGATTTTCTATCCATTTCCTCCAAAAATACTTTATTCTGCACAATAGTCTCCCCTTTAAGTAATTCAATCTCCAACTGGTTAAAAGGGTAAACATTAGGAACTTCGCAGCTTACAGTGACAGGGTTTCCATGCACTAGCAGACCACTCATCTTAATTTCTGGATCACTATGGAATGCTGCAAATATTGCAAAAATGATGTTTAAATGTGACAATCAAGGAAAAATTGCGCTAAGCTCTATTAAATGCAAAGGTCTCAAAATGACAGCTTTAATTCACATAAGATAGAATGATCATCAATACATAAATAATGAAATTAAGTATAAATGCATATTTATGATATTAAATATAAATAATGTTGGAAACAAAAAGTACTTAGTACATCAAGTCATCAAGTATCAAATATTTTTACTTCTGTTTTTCTCTTCTTAATGATGCAATCTGGCTGAGCACCATGGCCTGATCTTTTCTAAGGACACATCAGCTTCTACCATCTTATTTTAAATGTTTTAAATATTTGCCATGATGTATTGAATACTTAGTATGAACTAGTCCCGTAACATTCATTATCTCAGTCTTCAAAGCAGCCTGATAAAAATGGTATTTTTTAACTTATTTTACAGCCAGGAAAACTAAAACTTACAGAGGGTAAGAGACCATGTTTTTCTGACCTCAGAGTCCAGACTTAGTTTCACAGAGGTCACAGAGCTGTGCGGCCTCTTGGTATCAAATGAGACCCACAGGGTAGTTCTCAATTTCAACAGTTAAATTTCTAATGACCAGATTTAGACCCCAAGTTTTAAATATTGTTCAGATAATACTCGTAATTAAGAAAAGAACTGCCTTAACTGTATTATTTAGAATTTAAGAGATTTAGATTCTAAATAATAATATTTACAACATATCTTACACAAGTAAATAAAAATGAGACTGTAATCGTTATCAAGAGTAATGTTAATGTTTTTTTCCTTCAGCAAAAGTGTTGTTAAAGTGATACATTCCCAACTATTTCCATATTGCATTCACTGCTGGTTCTCATTTCTGCTGGGAATGTGCCCACATCAGCAGATCCAGGACTCTGGGTAATACGATAACACAGTAAAATTTACCCTTCTTTGGAGAGATTCAAATCCCTTCACAAGCATACTCTAACTCATTCTGAACAAAATCCTGAAGGGTAACACAAGTTTGGGTAGGGTTTCCGGTGGAAAATCTCTACAATCTGTTCTCTCGAGTTCCTCAATAAAAGAAGACAGAGTAACCTTCTCAAAGAAATAGCTTTGTGGTCACTTTGCATATTTTGTCCCTCATTCATTATAGACTGAGAACACCAGCAATGTCAAATCCATAGAAATTCGAGGTTGTAAACGATTTTTATTAAGATGACCAGAAGAGCAAAAAAAAAGCGTAGTGCATGTAAACAGCATAATCAGTGTTAAGACCTAGTGCTGCCTCTTGACTCTGCTTTTCTCCTGAGCTACTGTATAGAAATTCGAGGTTGTAAACGATTTTTATTAAGATGACCAGAAGAGCAAAAAAAAGCGTAGTGCATGTAAGCAGCATAATCAGTGTTAAGACCTAGTGCTGCCTCTTGACTCTGCTTTTCTCCTGAGCTACTGGCTCTTACCCTCCCACCTCCAGTCTAACTCCCTGTCTTCATTTTTAACTGTCTCCTGCTTCCCATTGCCTCGTTTGTTTTCTTTTGTGTGTTTGTTATTCTCCACCTCAGCTTTCCACATGTGCTTTAAGACAGTGTGAACAGTCGAGCAGCAGTCAGCCCCACCCAGTTATCTGAAAAGGCACCGACCCCCAGTGCTGTCACTTGCCACCTCCACACACCCCACAAACACAAGGAACACACGGAAGGACTGGGAAGGAGGGAGCATGGAGTGTGTTCAGGTGCATGATGAGACAGCATTGACCAGACACGAACTAAGTCTGTGGATGCTGAGTATGTACCAGGCTACTTCAAAATGTTTGTGGAAAAATTAAATTAAAAGACAATACGAATCCTTCCATTAATTTTTGAAGATCCCTCATATGTAATGCATACGTAAGACTTAGGCCAATTATGTTGCACCAAACCATTCTGTTTCAGAGATTTAGGAACCATTCACCATGCTAAATTCCTTTTCTAAATGCACAGATCTCATTGATTATCACAGACTCTCATCGTTTTTCTTCCAATGGAACTAAAAAAACAAAGTAAACAACTCTGAAAACCACTTACAGTAAAGCTCCACCTGGATTCTCTTTTCCACTTTCTTTTGTCCACAGGTCGCTGAGCACAGATAAAAGTGTTCGTTCTCAAAACTCACAGGGTGCAGGGTCAGTGTGGACTCGGTCCCTTCACTCCTCACCGTCCCATTCGGAGGGCTGTCTGTGTGGGTTCTCCAAGAGATAGATGGGGACTCGCAGCCTGTGACACCACATGTCAACACGACCAAGTCCCCAATCTGAGCAGCAATCCGGGGCCCAGGGGAGATCTCAATGGTAAACAGTTTTTCTGGGGGATGGGGGGTGGAGATGAAGATGAAAAGAAGATAAGATTATTTTCTTCTTTCATCATATTCTCATATATGATCTTTATTTTTCTTAATCTCCTTTTAGCTAATATCTGTGCCAAGAAGAAATTACTCCTTTTCACCTCAGGATCACCAGGAATGACACCACATCTTTTAAACATGAATTCATGATAGTCTGTTGATTCATTCATTTAACAGAATGAACATAGATAACGATTTGTCAAGAGAGAGACTGGCATCTTTTCATAGCAATAATCCAGTCTCTGCTCAAATATAATATATCAGATCACTACAATAGTGGACAATAGCTCAAATAAATATAGTGGTTCCTGTGTGTCAAGCATTATGTAAACCACTTTACATGTATCATCTCATTTAATCCTCACAACAATTTCATGAACTAGTATTATTATTTCTTCTCGGCCTTTACTTCCTCCTCTTTCTACTTTCTCTTCCTTTTCCTCCTCTTTCTTCTTGAGAAAATTTAGATTCAGAAATGCTAACTAACTTTACCCAGTTTGCAAGTGGCAAAATTAGGACTTGGTGCCAGTTGCGTCTGATTCAAGACCCCAGCTTTTCAGTTGCTAGAACAACTAAATCAAGTTATCCTCATGTGGATATAAAACATGATCTAAAAGAGGAACTGGAAAAAGCTACAAAAAAGCCTTCCAATTAGATACAATACTCATAATGGATCAGTGCTTAGAGCTTCTGTTCCAACAATATAAAATTATCACATTGAAAGTTACACAGAATCACACTGAAAGCAAGTCAAAACCTAAGCATTAAAGTGATACATAAGTCACCTCCAAAATTTGTTTGATGTGATATAAAAATATTTTGCAATTAACTCAGGGGATGAAAGCTGAGAAGGGAGGGCAAACTCCTAAGTCTCAAAACTCCTGCTGGGCGCACAAGCCTTTGTGCATAACTGCTGTTTAGGGAAAAAGAGAATTCCATATCTTCACTATTCCCCTGAAGAAACTGGGAGTGGTTGGGCAACTCTGAAAGGCACAAATGTGACTCTCTAGAAAATCACTAAAATCTTCCTTGTAAATAGCAGACTGGAGACGGGAGAAAGAAATCCTCAATACTTAAATAATCCCAATATACTACATTTTCTAAGGTTCTCATCTGTGCCAGGAGAAGTTGCTAAGTGAAATAACTCAAGCACAGAAAGACAACTACCTCAGGATCTCACGTACACGTAGAATCTAAAATGTCAAACTGATGGAAGCAGAGAGTAGAATGGTGGTTACCAGGGCTGGGGGTTAGGGGTGGGGAGAAAGGGCATGGGGAGATGTTGGTTAAAGGGCACCAAGTTTCAGTTAGATACAAGACACAAGCTTTTAGATGCATTGCACAGCAGGGTGACCACAGTTAACAATATACTTTATTTATAACAGTTATATTTAATAATATAATAATTATAATTATAATCTTAAAATAATAATTTTATTTGTCACATTATTATTATAAAATAATATTATTATTTTATTTTAAAATAACTAAGAAAGCAAATTTCAAATCTCACCACAAAAAATAAGTGAGGTGATGAATATGTTCATTAGCTTGATTTAATTATTCCACATTTTTACATATATCAAAACATCACATTGTATTACATAAATGTATACAATTATGATTTGTCAATTAAATATAGCATTAATTTTTAAAAAACAATTAATAAAGATAGATAGCTATAATTGAAAAGGTGTGGAGTTTGGGAATAAAAAAGCCTGTATTAAAATCATAGTAAATGCAACTAACAAGCTATTTGGCCTTAGGCAAATTATGAACTATGCTGTGCCAGAGTTTTTATCCACCTTATAGCAAAAAAACAATTAATAAAGATAGATAGCTATAATTGAAAAGGTGTGGAGTTTGGGAATAAAAAAAGCCTGTATTAAAATCATAGTAAATGCAACTAACAGGCTATTTGGCCTTAGGCAAATTATGAACTATGCTGTGCCAGAGTTTTTATCCACCTTATAGCACTGTGGTGAAGATGAATGAGATAATAAATATAAAGTAGAATGTAGAATTCCTGGCAAATATCAGGTATACAATCAGTAGGTGATACCATTACTAATCTCTGTGAGACTCTATTCTCTCATCTGTACAATGAGTATAAAATATTTACCCTATAGTTATTTCTTGAGGATTACAGATAGAATATATAAAATGCCTGAAACATAGTTAGGGTTCAATGAGTGCTGTTATTTAAGAACATCTTACAAGAGTCCAAGTGAGAGATGATAAACTAAGGCAATGGCAAGAAGGCCGAGGAAGAGGTCAGATTCTAAGGATCATTTTGGGGTGGAACTGACAGTTTGGAATAATACGGTATGGAAGCATGAATTTGAGAATAATCAGCTTATAGTAGTCCACTTCTTGGGGGTCTAGAGTGAGAAGAGAAGAGGACCAGGTGTGGTAACCTGAAAATACCAACATTCAAGAGGCAGGAGGAAGAGAAAAAGCCAAGGAAATGATGCAACATGGAAAAGAACCAGAAAAGCAGAGCCATGGAAGCTCTTGGAGGAAAGACTTCCAAGAAGTACGAGTAGGATAAATACCCACATATATTTGTGCCTAAGTACATGGCAATCAGTTGGGCCATCAATGAAACTTAGGGAAGGAATTTCAGCATTGAAGCTGTGTCATATTACTCAAATCCCAATGACAACACCTTTATCATTCCTTTTTCACATTCTACTCACCTTGAACAATTAATTCCACTTCTTTTCTGCTTTTCCCAATCAGATTACCTCCTTCACACACATAAATTCCAGAATCTTCTATCCTCATAGCAATTAAGGTGAGAGTTGCATTCCCAGAAAGGAGCTGTAGATTCCCGTTATCTAATTTCTTGCTCCAGAAAATCTCTGGAGCTGGTAGACCCTCACTGGAACATGTCATCGTCACAGAGCCACCTTCCTGCAGCCTTGTGGAGGGATTCACAGAGATAACTGTATTTTTGGGTGAGACTGAAAAAGCAGGGCATAATATTAGCAATTGCTAAGCATCATCTTGATCCAACAGGAGTAATGTATTTCTCTCATAGATTGTGTTTATGTGCTTCCACAAATCTAACAAACTTACTCTGCCAAATTAGTATTAAAAACAGCTGACTCATTACAAAATAGTCTAGTTTCTGATGAACTTGAGTTACTTTTTTTGATGTTTAGTGTTTTCAGATGGTTGCTGATACTCAGAAATTAAGACGGGCCCTTAGAGTCATGAGGTTCAATCTCCCACCTATAAGTAGGAGTCCCATCTAAGCATCCTTGCCAAGTGCTCATTCAAGTAAGCCTCAACATTTACTGAAAGAGACAACCCATTGCTTTATAAAACAGTCAATTTGAGCTTTGGACAGATCTAATCCTAGAACATTTTCTCCCATTGAGCTGAAATCTTCCTCTTTGAAACTAACTTCTACAAACTAGTCATAGTTCAGACTTTTACAGCTACAGAATAAACCAAATCCCTCTTTAAAAGACACTACTGTCTTTTAAATACTTAATTAGAGCTCTTTTTTCCAAGTTTTGTTTCTCTGGAAAAATATCCACTTTCTTGACTATTCTTCTCAAAACATTGTTAAAAGTCTTTCCCATCTCCTTCTCTTTTCACTAAACATGCTAGAGTTGGTGATACTCCTTTTAAATGTGGTGCCCAGAACAGAACAGAGCAATTTAGTCTAGAACAGGGCACAGGGAGTTCAATCCTACATTATTCTAGGACTACAAGACTGCCTCAAATCCCTTGGTAGTCTCAGTTAGACAGGGGACAATCAAACCCTGTCACCTTCCCCCCACGCGTATGTGTGTGTGTGTGTGTGTAAGCTTATTTATATACAGGTGTGCACACACACATACACAGAATGAGTGCTCACCTTCTAAAGCTTCTATACCTATGCAACTAATATTTCAAGGCATATTATAAGAGTTTACAAACCATGATTAAAAACATTTTATTATTTGAGCCTATTTTCAATCAGATTGTATTATTCCCCTTTGATAGACTGGGAAACAGAAAAATTAAGTAACCCAAGCTCAAACAATTAATGGAACTAGAAATTAAGCTCAAACCTTCTCACTCCAAATCCAGTATTCTTTTCATTGAATTATGCTGTTGGCAAATGTTATGTTCTCAACAAATAAAAATGGAGTAAAAACTACAAACATATTTCTTGTTGACTCAGTTGCTAAGTTTATTGCTATATACACCCAAGATTGATCTCTCATAACGACTAGACCAAATCACACAAGTACTTACTGTAGACTTGCAGTACTTTTGTAGTCTCCCTTTCTTTGGGTGCAAAATCAGTTTCATCAACATGTAATTTAGCTCGGCAAACAAGAGCTTTCCCAATATCCTCAACGATAGGAGTAAAGGTTACTTCCAAACTCTTGGTTTCCGGGGACTTCCTATCCATAACCTCCAGAAATTCCTGATTCTTCATGAGATGGTCACCTTTCAGTAAATCTATCTCCAGCTTGTCAAATGGGTACACATCAGGGACCAAACACTTGACTGTGATTGGTTTTCCGACTTCCAGAAGGCCATTCAAATGAATCTCGGGATCCCTAGGGAAAGCTGCAAAGGCCAAATACATGAGTAGGCTTTTTGCTCATGTTACATAAGTCCTCTTAACATTTTAACACAATGCAAATTAATCCTAATGTTTTTGTTAAAACAGTCTTATTAATACAACAGAATTAATTGTTCAAATGGTCTTTCATGGTTTGTGGTGGGTTCTGTTACATAAGTCCTCTTAACATTTTAACACAATGCAAATTAATCCTAATGTTTTTGTTAATACAGTCTTATTAATACAACAGAATTAATTGTTCAAATGGTCTTTCATGGTTTGTGGTGGGTTCAAGAAGCAGGAATCAGAATCAGCCACCTTTTAGAGGATTCTCCAGTTCTGATCTTGCATGTATTAAGGGTTGCATGCTATTGGAGTAAAGGAAGGCAGAGAAAATCTAACATTTATTGAAACTTTGTGCCCATCACATTGCTATAGATTTAACATAAATGATTTTATCTGACCCTCACAATAACCCTAAGAGACAGGGACCACATATTACAGATAAGAAAATTTGGACTATGACTCTGTACTGCTACTACAGATTTATATTATGTTATTACCATATTCTCTTATTTTAGTCAGGGCAGATATATTTTAATTTTACAGATAATGCATCTAAGGCTCAGAATGCCATCGTAAAGAATAGTTGTTGAGCAAGATATACTAAGAAATGTAAAGAGCAAATTTATTGTGTGTGTGTGTGTGTGTGTGTGTGTGTGTGTGACCGGTAAGGGGATCGGAACCCTTGGCTTGGTGTCATCCGCACCGCGCTCAGCCAGTGAGCGCACCAGCCGTCCCTATATAGGATCCGAACCTGCGGCCTCTCCCAGTGCCGCACTCTCCCGAGTGAGCCACGGGTTCGGCCCTGAAAAGAGCAACTTTAAATAATTGGGTTTTGAAAATGCTGCCTCTGACAGGAATTCATCCACAGAAAGGTATACCTGTTCAGTGTTTAAACTCTGGAAGGCAGATTTGCCTCCTGAAATGCCTAATTTAATGTCCCAACCATATACCATTGAACCTTCTAATACAAAACAACACAATATTTCAGTTGGTCAGTGCCTCTTTAGCAAGGGTTACCTTTTTCATTACACACTGTCGTGANTTTTGTAGCCTAATAAACTAGGGGTATTTACTCATGTTCATGATGCAAATCTAACTCATTATACAAGTATTTTTGAGGTTGAGCACCAAGGCTTTATGGCATTAAACAAACAAACAAAAATCCTAAATTTATCAACACCAAAGTCAAGTGAGTGAAATGTTTGTGGATATTTTGTATTATGTCTGAGGAGAAAACTTTTATACCGAAGTCCATTATTAAATTATAGATCTTCTACTTAATCTTTAAACTGATTTTAAGCACCAAATTGCATAAGAATAAATGAATGGAAAATCCCTGAAGGATGGATTTGGACACATGAGCAAGTAATCATTTGAACACATGAGCAAGTAAAAGAGTAGATATAATCAACTGGAAATTTTTTTTTTTTGTCCTTTTCGAGACCGGGCGCACCGCGCTCAGCCAGTGAGCGCTGTGAGCGCACCGGTCATCCCTATATAGGATCCGNTATTTCAGTTGGTCAGTGCCTCTTTAGCAAGGGTTACCTTTTTCATTACACACTGTCGTGATGGTAACATACTGGTGGGTTCAAGACTGTGCAGTAAGGAGAATACAAAGGTCCCAACCATAAGAAAATTACAATCAAATGTGGAATGGAGACAGAACTGTTAAATGTAATGAAAAACAGATATTCTTGGAGAAAAACCTCAGGCAAGATAATTAAAGCCAGAAGCATCTTCATTTCTCTTTTTTAAATCTTCAACTATTTGGTACTTGTAGGAAAAATAAAAGGAAATGGAAATAACTTTGCTATGTAAAATTTTCCACTAGTAATTTTTGTGCCTCATATTCCATAAAACATGTGCTTATAAACCGCACAACTTGATGTCAGGTAATATAAGAACTTGCTACTTTTCCCTGTGTTTACATAAGGGGACCTTTCAAGGAGCTCAGGAGGCTGCACAGACAGAAACTATGCATGTACAAACAGCATAATTGAAAGCAGCCGGCCAAGCACAGTTTCTCAGGAAGCTTTAGCAACTCATGGGGCTTGTTGAAGAATCAATGAAGTTTACTGGGCAAAGCTGGACTCCAGCATAGTGGAAAGGAACCAACATAATTATAAGATAATCAGATGAGGTCGTCATGAAGAATGACCCTAAACAAGTCCTGTTTTTTAGAGAGAGAGGCCATCAGTAAG